AGGCATGAGATTTCCTACCTTGGATTCTATTTCCTGACGCACATAGACTATGCATACACTTTGACAAAGTGTCCCAAGTCTACTAAGACAGCAGGCCTGCCAGCGGGTGAGCACTGCTTTATATTATTTTAGTTTCTCCGAAAACGGCTGTAGGACATGAAAACCTTTTCCTGCTGCAGGCAGGAAATTGGAGCTGATGAGGGAAACTTAGGTGGGAAAATGAAAATGAATTTAGTAGGTATGGTATTTTTTTATGTCCCTCAAGATAAAATGGAATCTGGGCCTTGTGATTTCCCTCCAGCCCTCTAATGATAATTTCACTTTTTCATTTAACTGATTTCTACTCTAGAACTCATGTACGACCCCCAGTTTGGGGGAAATTTGGAATTTCTATATAGAAAAAAGATTTGCCAAATAGAAGGAATGAGAAGAGCCATACTTCTCCCAACACGCTCCTGGCTGCTGCAGCCATGATGTCTCGCTCGGTCAATGGAGATGACCCTGTTTAACTTTCAAGGAATGGCCAGACTGTTTTCCAAAGTGGCTGCACCATTTACATTTCTATTAGCCATGTAAGAAAGTTTTAATTTCTCCAAATCCTTGCTAAGACTTGCTACTGTTGCCTTTTTTATTACAGCCATCCTAGAAGTGTGAAATTGTATCTCTTTGTGGTTTTGAGTTGTATTTTCCCAATGACTTTTTATGTTTTAATTGGCCTTTTACATATTTTCTTTGGAGAAATGTCCATCAAATCCTTTGCCTAGTTTTTAATTAGATTAATTGGTTTTTATCATTAAGTTGTAAGAGTTCTTCATACGAGCTCTGGATACAAGTCTCTCATTGAATATATGATTTCCAAATATATTCTCCCATTCTGTGGGCTGTCTTTTCTCTTTCTTGTGTCCTTTGAGGCAAGAATTGAGTATTACTTTGCACATCATATGTAAGAGTATCATTCATGAGTTAGGTGAGATGGAGAAAGAATTTAAAGCCATTGAGAATGGTTGAAGGAGACATCAATGTTTAACCCAGAAAGAAGAAAAGTAAACAGAATTATGCCTCAATCTTTACATTTATAAAATGCTGCCATGAACAAAAGTTGTTCATGATATGAGTTACTCCCAAAGGGAAAAGTGGTACCAAAAATGAAATAGAGCAGATTCAGATTCAAATTACCTGACTTTAAACTTGGAGTTGTTTATTTAAAATGAGGCTTCATAGGCACTCTCTAAAATTGAGGCATTCAAGTAAAAACTAAATAGTCACATTGCAGTGGTGTGGTTGGAGAGAATTCCGAATTCTATGGAAAGTTAAACTAGATAATCCCTTGGTTTTCCTCCTCTCTGAATTTTATAATTCTATTAAAATACGCTTTTTCAAATTATAAAATATTGGTTGACATAAGTGTTTTTTTTTCACTTAATTGAACTTCCTGTGAATTTTGAAAAGTCACGTTAAAGTCATATTAAAAAGTAGCCGTTCAAAAAAAAAAAAGTCATTTAGTAGAAATCATTTTAGAACTACAATTCATAACTTTAAAAGTTTGAAGGTTTTAGCATCCCAGTAAAAACAATATTATATAATTAGTAATTATTTCATAGTAGGATGGTTCCTGTTATGTGTTAATAAATAACTCACACAAAAGTAAACATAAATCTTGCCCATTTAACTTGACTTTTTCCCCCTCTCAGCTGTAGAGGTCAAATCCAGATATCTTCACAGAACAATATCATTCCATTCTCCTCTGTGGTCATGACAGGTAGGAGGGACTTGCTAAATTGTTCACAGAGCATAGAAGCCAGAGAATAAAAGAGCTAGAAAACATTTGTTAAAACATTTTCTGGCCAGTGATACAGAGAATAAAAGAAAAATTCCTTTAGACACAGAGTTTCGTATAAAAAGCTTAAAGCACAAACAAGTTCAATAAAATCATTGTTCATTTTCCTTGGAAAAGATATAAAACCCAGAAGTAAAGTCCAGGAGAAAATTGAGCATGAAAAAGAAATCCAAAGATGATTGTTTTTACTGCTATAAAGCAGGCTTAGCAATAACCACTCTGTCACTTGCCCAGGGCAGCTGAAAATTTGTACCAGATGAAGGAATAATAAAGAATTCTGACTATTTTACTCTTATGGGAAGGGTTGACTGTTTGAAACAAAACCAGCAATTGGTAAATGTTTTAAATTTTCATTTTGTATAAGAAAGATGTGGGGACAGGAAAAACAAAAATCCCAGACGGCCTTAAGAAAGCAAAGAAGATACAACTATTTAAAAGCAAAAACAGAGCATGAGCTGCTAGAGTGTCCACAATGCCAGGGTCTGAACAAAGAACATTCGCCGTCGATTTAAAGTGCGACAAAAACCACCAAAATGGCCAGGGCGAAATAAAGAAGCTACCGAGACGAGTTAGCGTAGTAAAGCAAAAGCCATGAAAAACTCAGAGAGAAATGCATCATGACTCTTCACAAAGTCACCATGGGAGAAAGGATAAAGGATTCCCCGCATGTAAGAACGTATCGGTTATAGGGAATCCTGATTCTGGGGCAGAAGGTTCTGGTTCTGGGCCGGGAGGTTCTGGTTCTGGGTAGGGACTCTTGGCTCTGGGGCGGGAGCCCACATAGCAGGAAGAGGGGCACAAAGAACAGCGTTCAAAATG